TATCTTATCTTATCTTATCTTATCTTATCTTATCTTATCTTATCTTATCTTAAATGATGAGTAAAACTAGAAAAGTAACTTTACCCTGGCCTAAAATAATACAGTATTATTCACAGAAAACAAATGAGCAAAAGTGAGGTAAATTAATATCTTTTGTTGCATTCTTTTTCCTAACGCGTTGGTTAAAACAAACTAGTCTTTGGATCASACAGCGTCTACATAAAAAAGGCAGCATTTATCCCTAAAACCTGTCCACGTGTCTTTCTTGCACTCTTTAACTGTCCATTCCAGCCGAAACAAGCCATTAAACAATGAAGGCCACTCTGAAATTGCTTAGATTTAAGCATTGCATTTAAAGGAATTAGTGGCCATCCCCTGACCCGGCACGCTTTAATTGGAATTGTGCAGGTATTGATTGTAAGTGGCCGTGTGAATCTTGAATTACAGCCTGATTAACATTTACTCGGCCCTTTGCACCAGCCAGTCGAAGAAGCTCGATGTCGTTCAGCTGAGCTTCACAGAGGAATCGTGTAACTTTGTGTGTGAACAGGAAACGGTGTGTATTTAAGATGACGATGATAGCTCTTGTCTTAAAGCAGACCTATCTCTCTGAAGTCATCAGAAAACACRGGGCTTGGCGTGTAGCTCACATAAGAGATGTATTCTCCTTTTTATCTTTTCTGTTCTTGTTTTATCTGCATTTCATCACGTTTTCCCTCTTTCTTTATTGTTTCTCAGCAGAGATAATGACCTCTGAAAGGTCTGGATGGAAACAGTCATGGGACTGATGTAGCTCTTTTTCTCCATTATGAGCAGTTTTATCGGGGCCCTCTGGGCATCTCGCCTCAATGTCCATCCCCTGTTCCTCTAAAAACTCTTCCCTGGATTGTCAGCTTTTACCTGGCCGGCCTGCATGTGTCATTACAAGTCAGTAATCTGGAGAGGGTATAGCAGAAAAGTTCTCATCAGTGTCAGCCTGARATATAGATATGGGCCGGGTAACAAATGGCCAAATGCACAGGCGGCAGAGCACACCATCAATAAAGCAATTTCTTGTGTCATAACAGCCACGCTTTTCCTAAAGCCAACCTTTCAAAAACTTTTCCCTCTGCAAATCGCTGCAGCCCCACCATTAGAGTCCTGCCTTGTGAATTTAATGGATTCCGTACAAATAATATTCCACTATAATGGAAAAGGTTGRAGTCACTGAAGACAGATGAAGTCATAAACATGTATAATTGAGAATCAAAGACCGATAAATTTTAAACTGCTATCCATTCTCTGCTTTTTAGATGATGATATATGTCAGCGCGGCTGCGGGAAAATGGAAGAGATTATGTGGGGAAATTATAACAATAAATTTTCTAAACATACACCTTGATTATGCTTCGATTTTTTGGAAGGGTTGAGGGCGAGGGATGGAGAGGGAAGGGGGTGGGGGGGGTTATAGAAAGAAAGCTGGGATTGCTGAAAGCTTGCCGGCTAAATGGCACCATAAAATAGGTTCCCTGCTCTTTTGCCTGCAGAGCGTAGGCATGCCTGGAGGTGTGATTTCCCCCCMACACCTCCCCCTCTAAATGGGGGAAATGAATTGTGTAATTTATTGCAAACGTGCACACAGTGAGATTAGATCAGCATATCCCATCAAAGGAACAACAATCAATCAGCCTCTAGTTAACAGCTTGAAACACATAAACCAGGGCACCTAATGGCTTTCCAATTTAACAGATTGATAGACTTATCCGGTCCTAAGGGATGAATTAAGAAAACCGGGCTCATACAGACACTGGCACTTTTGACAGGACCTTTGGCCCACATCAGACCTACTTACTATTTCTTCTTCCAAATTTGAAGACAAAATTGACCTTAAAATAAAGAGGAAGTCAGTTTCTCCTCATTTCTTTCTTTCCTTTTTTTTCTCTCCATTTCTGTTTGAGAAAGCTTGCCGGGGCTTATTTGTTATTCAGATGAGGCGCGAGTGGAAGTGTGTCAGATGTGGAGAATGGGCTCATTTTAATGACCTGATTATCGCAGGTCATTTGGAACTGTGAAATCAAGGCAGCTATTCAAAGCCACTTAACAATATCTAAATGTGACCCAGGCGATCCATTCAAGCGGGGATGTAGTTTAAAAAAAATGGAGCTTGTTTGTTTCATATCTAATTTATCACGTAATTAATTGAAGCTAACTCTGCCACATGAAATATTAAAGGATTAGGTTGACGTTTCTGGGAAAATAAGCTTTATTCACTGTAAATGAGAAGTTACCACTTTTCTTGCTTGCAGAGCATGACAAATAGCTCATAATAAACATCTAACTGTATATCATTATTTGAATTTGTTTGTTCGTTTTTTCTATAAAAATGCCTCCACATCATTTTATAAAGTCTTATAATTTAGTTGAAAACAGTGATTACCAAGCTGAAATCCCAAAAGATCTCAGTGGTAGTGTGAGTTTTCTGCTGCACACTGATTGCCAAAAGCTGTGTGGACTTGAACGCACTCAAGAAGTGAAATAAAAATGGAAGTACTTAAACAGAGCTTTTTCTCATAAAATGATTTTGTTTGGGGATTGGTAGAACTATTTTATTATGGAAAAGGAAAAGTTGATTTTGAAAAAAAGTATAAAAAAGCCAAACAATTCACACAGTGGATGAATCAGTTTGTCGGCTCAGAACCAAATTATGTGTCTCATGAATGAAATACATCCCATCTTATATACTAAAAGAACAGTGCTGCTCTTTTATGAATGCTGTGATCAGTTCTTCTGGCTACTAGTTTGTTTGTTATTTTGGGAAACAGAATGACAAAAAGTCATGGATTTTCAAAAGACAAGTTGCTGTACTCACACTGCTCAGTGTCCCATTCAGTGTGTTGTACACTACATTATCAGCACCCATAACCAGTTGGCGCAAACATCTTGATGCTTCATTCCTGGACAGTGATACAATATTAAGGTGGCTGATGAAAGACAAAATGGTCATTCTTTCCAAGAAATAAATTTAAAAATATTAGTTCAGCTGCTGGTTTTGTGCATGGGTACAAGTAGGAGGAGGGCTTTGCGGGGGAAAAAATGGTTGAAAACTACAGGTGTAAATGCTTTTGCATCTTCTGATCTCCAAAAGTACAAAAGTAAACCCAAGGTGCTAAAAAGAAATGGTAAATATATCAAATTAAAACCAACTTCCATACAATCTAATTCTATCCATTCATAAGTTGGATTTATTGTAGAAATCTATATAAAATAAAAAGACAATAAAGACAGCAGGTTGAGCTGAGGTGACCAGTAAATCATGTTATGTCCTCCTACAGTCAAACTGTTAATGTATAACAAAAGAGTGAGCTCAGGTTCACAACAGGCAGCACAGACCTTAACCCTTTATGGCTGTACTGTCTTTTTAAAGAACTACTAACCCAGAACCCTGACCCAGAATACTTATGTAATGTACACTCAGTATCACTGCATTATCTTGTCCTCATCCACGGAGACAGCTGATCTTTCCGTGCTACTGCATAATTGACAAGCTGCTGGTCAAGGATGTGATCCTGAGAAGGATGAGAAAGTGTTATTCTAGACCCCCAAAAAACCTGATCAGACCTGAATAAGGCCATAACG